GCAGGAGAATTGCCTGAACCCAGGAGGCGGAGGTTGAGGTGAGCCGAGATCGCGCCATTGCACTCCAGCCTGGGTAACAAGAGCGAAACTCCGTCCCCCCCGCCCACCAAAAAAAAAAAAAAAAGAAAAAAAAAAAGAAAAAGAGAACGATGGCCTCTTCTTTCTATCCGTACCTTTCTACTACACGTTGGGAAACTGGCGCACATATAAAATGAAATCTCATTTGCAAGTTCCCTGGCCCTAGATGGAACTGATGGTGAGCTTTTTCACTTCCTTAAGCATAGCTCATCCACATTTATTTTGATAAGGAAGGCTACTGCTTGTATATACACTCCTGCAGAATCCATGAGCTTACATTCCCTCTGGGCAGTTCTCAGCTCCCCGTAGTCACCAAAGTCCTCAGTCTTGTACCTAGGCATGCCCAGGCCAACTTTTGCAAAGACTCCCATGGCTCTCACCTGGGAGTCAGGAAGCTGAACCTGCAGGTCACTGCAGACCAAATTCCTTGCTAATCTCATCTGGGTTTCCTATGTGCCACCTCCAAGTGGAGCCTTTATTATTTGATTCATGAGGTTTAATACAATTCCAAAGTCCAAGATTCAAAGAGAAGTTCACTTTAGTCTTGCATAATTCATGTAATGATAAGGGAAATAAGCATTCGAAGAAGGAATGGGTTAGCTTTCTTTTCATGGCAGAAAAAAACCTATGGTGTTTATATCACATAGGACTAGGGATTTGAAATGAGCCTCGTCACAGACATATCGACACTGAGTCATCTTCATTTGCTTCTCCTGCAACATCTTTTATCGACTGTGAAAAGCACAGCCAACAGATTATTTTCCCCACCAGAGCCCCGGTGCCTGGGATAACCAGGGTGCTTACCTGCCACAAAATCACCAAAGCCCACCGTGGTTAGAGTGACCACCACAAAGTAAATGGACTCCAAGGCGGTCCAGCCCTCGATGTACTTAAAGATGACAGCAGGGATCGTCACAAACACAATGCAGCCAGCCAAGATGAACAGGATGGTTGAGATGACCCGGATCTTGGTCTGACTCACTTGCTTTTTCTAGGAAGAGCCAAAGAGAAAGATAGGCAAGTCAGTGGCATCACCCTGGACTCAGGATACAGATGTACAGAAAAAGGTACTGTGTCAGTGACTTTTTTTTAAAGTTGATTTAGTGCCTTCTTTTTTTTTTGTAGTATATATTTTATTGCATTTTAGGTTTTAGGGTACATTTGAAGAACATGCAAGATTGTTGCATAGGTACACACATGGCAGTATGGTTTGCTGCCTTCCTCCCCATCACCTATATCTGGCAATTCTCCCCATGTTATCCCTCCCCAACTCCCCACCCCCCTCTGTCCCTCCCCTAGATTCCCCCGACAGACCCCAGTGTGTGAGGCTCCCCTCCCTGTGTCCATGTGTTCTCACTGTTCAACACCCGCCTATGATTGAGAACATGCGGTGTTTGATTTTCTGTTCTTGTGTCAGTTTGCTGAGAATGATGGTTTCCAGGTTCATCCATGTACCTACAAAGGACACAAACTCATCATTTTTTATGGCTGCATAATATTCCATGGTGTATATGTGCCACATTTTCCCTGTCCAGTCTATCATTGATGGGCATTTGGGTTGGTTCCAAGTCTTTGCTATTGTAAACAGTGCTTCAATGAACATTCATATGCATGTGTCCTTATAGTAGAACAATTTATAACCCTCTGGATATATACTCAGTAATGGGATTGCTGGGTCAAATTGAATTTCTATTTCTAGGTCCTTGAGGAATAGCCACACTGTCTTCCACAATGGTTGAAGTCAGTGACTTCTAACCTTTTTCTGGTCATTGGCTGCTTGGAGGAAATTTGATGCATGCTGTTAAACTCTTTCCAATTAAAAAATGCACATACAGAAGTTTTCAAGTAGTCTAGGGGGTTCTCAGGCTCCCTGAAGCCTGTTTGTGAACACCAGGTCAAACAAATAAACAAACAAAAAGTCTGCTTAGCTGATTCTTTGAATGTTTCTTGAATGGTTCCATGACTGCAGCCCAAATACTGACTCTAACTTCCTCACTGGTGCAAATATAATGATTTCCCAGAAAGGCTTGCTGCTATTTGTCATGTAGTATTACGGATCCTCCATTTGTGAGAATGAGTTTGGAGCTCTTTCCACAATGGTGGTGATGGATTTGCAGCATTTCCCTTCCATCAAAGAGAGTATGCTAGAAAAAAATTATCTGAGTTGGGCCAAAATGTTTGGATGAAAAGGAAAACACAGCCATCCCCATCTTCATTGGACCAACTCTAGCCAAGATAGGTGTGTTTCTTCACCCCCCTCCCTTTTCTCTGCTGAGGCTGTACATTTATAACACAACTTTGGTTTAAAGCACACCCATCTGAGCTGGTGCTGTGGTCATCACGTGTGTTGACTGTATCACTCATAAGAGACAGGACAGGAGTTAGCACAACAGGGTCCCTGTCTAAGTGGGTAGGTAGTAGGACGACAATTAGATTGACTTAATGATCTGTGGTGAAATCTCCTTTTGGGCTTTGAACATTTTATACATCTCTGCAAACAAATCTCATCTCATGTCAGCTTCTGAAGGAGTCAGTCATTGGGTCACTTAGAAAGAAAAAAAGCATCTGGAATGGGAATTAGACTGATACTGGAGCAAAAGAATCATGCCAATGGAGCCCAGGAGTGGGGCTGGTAGCATTGGTCGTATTTTCTTTGGATGTGCTAAAGGCAACACTGGAATTGACTCTTAAGCTGAAAAATCCTCAAAACTCTCAGAATTGGTGCTGGAGACTGTCATCGGGGTCTTGGTATCATATACCAGCATACATATATGAACAATGTGTTTAACACCAGGATATATGGCCTTTCTACATTGCCTAGATCAATTTTCTGCAAAGGTACACCACATTTGGGGCAATCAATATAGGAAACCCACACCAAGGGATCTGCATCCTCTTCACTGCACCAAGCACAGAGAGAGCTTTGCATTATACACTTCATTTTGCACATGCAAAACAGAAGCCAAGAGGGGATAAGGGACTTGCATAAAATGATGCTACTAATTAGGGGTAGAGCCAGATTAGAATTCTGATGTAATTAATTCTCAGTCCAGTACTTAACAATGGAAACAGCTTTTCAAGTAATTCGGCAATTCACCAGCCTATAGAAAGTTGCCAAACAAAGTCGTCTGCACCTAACAAAAGAAATCAGACTAACTCCTGCTGAAAATGGGCAGTCCTCTGTCCCTTCTGTGAAGGAAGACTAAGAATAAAAAAATGGTCCCTGGGTGACCTGTCCAGGAAAAGTTAAAGAAATGCCATCTTTCCTTATAAAAAGGAGGTACTTTTCTAACTCCTGAGAGGATATCTAGTATATAAAATGGGAAGAGGGAAAAATTATTTCATCTATACTGTGATATAGAAAGCCTTCTAATCTCCTCAGAGAAACCATTTGAAAAAAAATTATAATTTACTGATACTGTTGAAACTGTATGTGAAAATATCGACTTTTTCACACATGAAAGTGTCACAACAAGATAAATTACCTGAGAACTGCAGGGAATGTTTTGTCCATTTCAGAAATGTCCATGTTGGCTATTATAGGACGATTTTGTAAAGGCAGGTGAGCCCCTTTGAGACTCCAGGAACTTAATTAGCCTAGATTTTTTTCTGCAGAGATGTATGAAAAGTTCAAAGCCCAAAAGGAGATTTCACCATAGATCATTAAGTCAATCTAATTGCTGCTGGCAATGGAAGCATCATTCCCCCCTCTACAAATCTTCCTCCTCAAACGCATAATGAAGTTAAAGTGAATTAAATGTTTGTGAGATGCTTGTTAAGTCATAAATTGAGATGTGAATGTAATTGAATGAGGTTGAGGTTGGCAAAAGAGGACTGCAAGTACGTAGGAAGCTGGAGACATTCCTGGACTTCAGGAGATGGGCAGAAGGGAAGATGGGGAAGGACAGGGGCGGATTTGTTTGATGGCAGACAAGGAGACGTATAACAAAGGCTAGATTGTGGAATCTTAATTGCATCCTCAACTGGAGAGTTTATCAGCAAGGTAAACATTTCACCGCTACTCATTGCCCAGGCCAACAAGTGTGTTCCGGGTCTGCTTCTCCCAGACATCCAAGGGTGATGCTTAGAGAATGTTTGGAGCATTTAATTATCAGGGTATTTTAGGGACTTAAGAAATACGCGTCTTGCATGTGTATGTGTGTGTAGGTGTATGAAAATATGTGTATACCCATACTTTGCTATAAAAAGAAGTGCTGTGGGCGTAAGGTTTTAGCAATATCTGTTATTCTGGATACCCATGTTTTTACTGCCCTCTAGATATTAAAAAAAAAAAAAGTTGCCTTAATTGAACATTTTAAACTGTGGCTTTCACAATGGAATCACAAACCATCTCATGTGCAGTATGGTGATCTTCAGTTTTCTTATCCCCATTAGCCCTGTTCACTACTGCTAGAAAACTGAGTAGTGTTTAAGAACACGCAGTTGGCCGGGTATGGTGGCTCATGCCTATGATCCCAGCACTTCGGGAGGCCAAGGCAGGTGCATCACTTGAGGTCAGGAGTTCAAGACCAGCCCAGTCAATATGGTGAAACCCCGTCTCTACTAAAAATACAAAAATTAGCCAGGCGTGGTGGCAGATGCCTGTAATCCAAGCTACTCAGTAGGCTGAGGTAGGAGAATCGCTTAAATCCAGGAGGCGAAGGTTTCAGTGAGCCAAGATCGTACTACTGCACTCCAGCCTGGGCAACAAAGCAAGACTCCATCTCAAAAAAAGGAAAAAAAACACGGAGTCTAGGGAAAGACTGCCTGAGACACATCCCATCCCCACTGCTTAGTTGAGTGACCTTAGGCACGTTTCCCAACCTCTCTGTACATTAGTTTTTTCCTCTGTAAGATGGAGATAAGAAACCCCACCTTATCAGATTGTTTGAAAGATTAAACAAGTGTGTAAAAGCTTAGCATAGTGCCTGGTTAATATTCAATAATTGTTATCAGGCAATTTTAATGTAAAAGCTCAAATTTTTCCTTAGACCTAGACAGTTCCAGATTTAATGCTTCTCTTTGCCATTGAGGAATGTTGCCTCATGTATGGCTTAAGATAATCTTTGTTTAGCTTCAGGAGGTCACTGCTGGTTGTCCCTTCCTAGATATGTTGCATATCTCATCATCAATGACAAAAAATGTCCTCATTCTCCTTTGGTTCCTCTGTGCCAAGTCTGGATTGAGCTCTCAGTCTCAGCTCGTAATCTTGGAAGTTTTTTTATTTGGCTTACAATTAATTCCACCCTACTCCCAAAACCCCAGGCTCAGCCACCTCCCCGTCCCTTTTTTCATCATTCTTCAGAAACTGCCAAGAATTGCAGATAATCTTTATGATGTCGGGAACCAGCTGCAGAGGGATTCTGAGAGGCACAAACCTCGCTCTCTGTGCCTTCCTGCCACTTACAGAATGGAGCAGTGTTTCCACGGAGGGGTTGCTAGGCAAAATTGCATTGCTTACTTACCAGTAAGCAGAGCAGCTAGCAGAAAGCTCTGTGAGAGCCCAGATCTAACTGAGCTAATGTGTCCTTAGGCTAACAAAACTGTTATCAGGGAAGAGATGGTCTGATGTGATATTTGGGTAGAACTGATAGGATGGTTGTGTATTTCTCTCTAAATCGTGTTTTCACATCCTGTTGATTGGTTAGAATAGAGCACATGTTCTTCCTTTCTCTTTACACAAACAGTATTTTGCAAAACTGCCTCCTATATCTGATTGATACAAACTATAGCAATTTCGGAAGTACTCAAAATCTATCTCCTGTAGAGTTCATTTAGTTGTTAAAATTATATGTGCAATTGTTCCAAAGACCAAGTAAGCTTCATAAACAGGAGGAGAGTGAGACAGTTCTAAGGGCTCTCCTTTGAGAGAGGGAGGTATGGACTGACGATTCGGGAAGTGTTTACTTGTTTCAGGCCTCAGAGGGCTAAGCCACATGTCCAATTCTCATTAAGCATAATTCTCGGCCTGTTTTCGTTTACTTCTACAAT